TTAATCTAGGAGATGTAAACAGAGAAACCAGATATCAGATGAACAACGTTGTTAAAGAGAAATTCGACTGAGAATGATTTATGAGTAATGATAAGTAGGAATCTTAAACCAAGTCAACAATGTGTATTTGTTCGAAACAGGGCTAACAAAGTACTTGGGTTCGTACAAAGGAGTGTTAGTTACAAGACTAGCGAGGTTATCATAAAACTATATCTTGCGCTTGTGAGACCTCACTTGGATTAGGCAGTTCAGTTATGGTCACCGTACTATAGAATGGATATAGAATCCCTAGAAATAATTCAGAGGAGAATGACAAGACTAATCCCGGGCATTAGGAACTTTGATTACAGAGACAGATTAAAGCATTTTAACCTGCACTCCCTCGAGAGACGTAGAGTGAGGGGCGATATGATCGAGGTGTATAAATAAAAGTCAGGGTTAACCAAAGGTGATATAACAAAGGTACTCAAACTATCCAACCAGGAACGAACTCGTAGCAATGGCTTTAAATTAGACAAATTTAGATTTAGGCGCGAGATAGGTAAACATTGGTTTGAAAAGAAGAGTAGTGGACGAGTGGAACAAGTTACCAAACATCATCATTAACTCGAACACGCTGGATAGCTTCAAACATAGGTTGGATGGATATATGAGCAATAGGTGATTGGGTGTAAACGGGACTGCCCAGTATGGGCCAATAGGCCCACTGTAGTTTCCTCCATTCTTGTGTTCTTAGGTTCTTGTTAATAACATGAGCTGACCTATGACCTCTCAACATGACCTGACATAAAACTGAATACCATCAATACCTTACTACAGAAACATCACGAAAATAATAACATGATACACAATTTTTAACTTCAACTGAAATATAATCTTTGTTTTGTATTTTCATCTATCAAAAATGTAACAAAAACGCTCACAAATATATATGGTTCCTACATATTGATATACACAAAATACATACGAAAGGTCAACCCCAGATGCCTCTTGCTATTGTATCAAAGACCATGACCTCTGACCTTTTACAAACTGTATACTCTGACCTTTGAGCGAAGTATTAAAATTAAAGTCAGCAACAGTAGATAGAACCTGTGTTGTGGGCCTTGAAAATAAATAAATATAAAAACCAATAAGTATTAAATTCTGGGGATATTCAATATTTTGGGGTTAAAAAATTTACCACCCACCTGATAAATTAATTAACCTTTGTTCACCTGTGTTCACCTGTGTTCTATTTCTACTAGATAGGGTTAAATAGGTCTAAGATTATATATTCTGAATAAAATACAATAGTTCTTCTGGAAAATATGTCATTATGTTATGTTATTCTCGGTTCTTACTTTTAATATTAATTTTTACTTCTTTCATTCCCTTTCTATGTATACTCATTCTCTCTCTCTTTCCATTCGTTATTATTATTATTATTATTATTATCATCATTCCTTTATGTTCTCGTCTTCTTCAAGTACCTTTGTTATTGTATTCTTCATTCTCCTCCTCTTATCCTCCTTCTCTTCCTCATTCTCCTCTTTAACCTACTCCTCCCCCTTTCTTCTCCGCCCCATCCTCCTCTTCCTTCTTTTTCTCTCTATCCCCTCACCTTCTCCTGTTTATCTTCCTCATTCTCCCCCTCCTCTTTCTTCTTCTCCTCCTTCTCTTTCTTCTCCTCCTCCTCCTCCTCCTCTTTCTTCTTCTCCTCCTCCTCCTTCTCTCACTTTCTAATAAAACTCACCATTGTTGTATTTCCTTATCGGGTTTTATACACATTACCATGGCAGCCGGAGGGGGGAGGGGGGGTGCCACAGGGGGGGTTGTAATGTATGTGTGTGTGTGTGTGTGTGTGTGTGGGAGACAGTGACACTCCACCACTGACCCGGCAGTAACAGATACTTACACGTGACAAGAAAGTAACACATAAGAGTACAACATCCTCCCATGAACGAACGCCACTGCTGTCACAAGGCGAGCGAAAGTTTGTCTGACTTAAGTTCCCATGTTATGTCATATTGGGACACAGGTGAACGCCAGGTGTTAACGTAACCTGTGTGGACATTGTTTTTAATTCACAGTCAGAATATTATCCCCATTTGACTTCAATTTAAAGATATTTATTGTGTTTTTCTTTGTGATTTTTTTTTTTTATTATTTTTTCGATAATCATTTTATTGCCACAGGTTTTATATGGGTTTAGCCGTCCCATTTTCTTTACTTGTGTGATTGTGTTTTGTCCTGAATTTTCGTGGAGAAATCTTAAATCAACACACACACACACACACACACACACACACACACACACACACACACAACCTTCCTAATATAATCTAATACCTGTGTAAAATAATCGAGAACCCACTAAATTAATATAGGACCCCAAAAATTAACCTAAGACCCCTGGCAAATAATCAAGACTCCTGGAAAATATCATAGGACCCCCCCCAAATAATCCAGGATACTCGAAAATTATTTAGGATCCACAGAAAATAATTCAGGACTCACCAAAATGACGTAAAATATTAGAAAAAAAATGTTTACAAAATTTAGCAGCCAGACCTAGATGTTGGCACTATGGACTGGACACAACACTACCTCCATCGTCTCTCCTTCAAACTACCTCCATCGTCCCTCCTTCATCCTTCTTCCTCCTCTTCCTTTCTCATTATCTTAGCCTCTCTCTCCCTCTCTGCCTTACTTCCCTTTCTTCGCCCCTATCTCCCTCCCTCCCTCCCTCCTTCCTTCGCTCTGACTTTCTTACCTCCCTTTCTCTTTTGCCTCCCTTTCCTCCTTAGCCCTTCCTCCCTCTCCTTAATAGCCATTCTTCCTCACTCCTTTCTCTCCTTCGGTTACTCCATTCCTTCCTTCCTTAACTCCTCCTTATCTTCCACCCTCCTCTCTCTTCCTATCTCCCATTCTTCCTCCCTCCTCTCTCTCTCCTGTCTCTCTTCTTCTTCCCCCTCTCTCTCCCACCTCCCTCTCTCTCCCATCTCTTCCTGCCTCCCTCGCCCGGCCAGGATATTTGATAAAGGTGATACTGGCTCACTGAGAGATAAGATAAGACGCATCGACAGAAAATATAATCAATAGTTTTTACTGATAACAGAGAGGAGACGATACTCTTAGAGGAATTTTTTCTTGTTTTTTTTTTTCATTATTCGTCTAAAGTTATTTTTTTTTCTTTGCGATGGAGAACGAGAAAGGTAAATTTAATGATACTTTTTATATCCTTGAGTATGATGATTTAGATTTTTGAGTATGATGATTCAAAATTTTGAGTATGATGATTTAAAATTTTGATTATGATGATTTAAAATTTTGAGTATGATGATTTAACTATTTCAGTACGATGATTTAACCGTTTAAGTATAATGGACTTTTTTATTGTGATAATTTAACCTCTTGAGTATGGTGATTTAACCCTTTGAGTACAATGTCATCATACACAAAGGAGTATATTATCGGATTAAAAATGTTAAAGCAAAGTACTTAAAGGGAAAATCATTGTACTCATACAGTTAAAACATCATACCCAAGGGATTATGAGACACACACACACACACACACACACACACACACACACACACACCACCTCATACTCGACCACAACCAACATTCCTCCTCCTACGGTCCTCCTCCACCACCTCACACTCCTCCTCCACCACCACCAACACTCCTCCTCATTAGCTGGGGGGAAGGATACTAACAAGACTCACCATCAACAAATACTGGCCAGGAAGGAGCACCTCACCTGTGGGCCTTACCTACAATTAGCCACAAGTTGTGTCGCCCGAAGGTGGTAGTAATTTTCCACCGAATTTGGGGTAACTACAGAGAAATGCACCTGTGTGTTTTGCACTAATTAGCTTCACCTGTCTATTAACTTCCCTCATTGTGTCGTGGCGGGCGAGAGGGTGTGTGTGTGGTACGGCAGGTAAGGTGGGGGTTACATTTTGTTTCCGTGGTGCTTTAGTCAGCTGTTGTTCTATTGGTGGTGGCATTGTTGTTTTATTGGTGGTGGCACTGTTCTTTTTACTAGTAGTGGCAGCGTTCTTATACTGGTGTTGTCTCGTTCTTTTATGGCACTCCAGGCGGTTGTGCACTGTTATCTGGTTGTTTAAGAGTGCATACCTACTGCTGGACCCTCGTCACTAGTCAGTAACCCTCAACTCCCCCCCCCCACCCTCCTCGTGCCTGGCTGCCAGAGTCTATTATACGAGTCAGGTGTTTGGTAGTAAAGGGGAATAATACCAACACCTGTATGATAATGTTACCTGGCGACAGTTGTTTTACCTGTACTTGTTAACAAATTAGTACCTTTGTTGATTTTGTGAATGAAGTTTCTAACGGTGAATCATTATGGAGGGAGGGTGGAGGAGGGAAGATGGTGTCCGGAGTGGAAAGGGTGGAGGGAGAAATTGAAGTTAAAATGTTATTACTGATCTTCAACAACTAAAGTCTTAAAGCGCGTAAGGTTAGGTTAGGTTAGGTTAGGTTAGTAATTACATTGACTAGTCCACCAATCAACAAGTAAAGATTATCAGTGTGTCAGCAGCAGATTAGTGTCAGTGTTTTAAGTAAGACGCCAATAATTGTTACTTCTTGAGTCGTAAGTTCAGTGTTTGATTATAAAAAGTTATGAGACTTGACCAACACAATATATACACCAGGACCTTCTCTTCTCTCCATCAAGGACGACCTTCCCCTCCACCAAGGACGACCCCTCCATCAGGACGACCTTCCCCTCCACCAAGGACGACCCCTTCCATCAGGACGACCTTCCCCCCTCCACCAGGACGACCCTCCCTCCACCAAGGACGACCCCCCCTCCACCAAGGACGACCCCCTCCACCAAGGACGACCCTCCCTCCACCAAGGACGACCCCCTCCACCAAGGACGACCTTCCCCCTCCACCAAGGACGGCCCCATTCCCTCCCCTGCTCTCCTCTTTCCTGTCCTGCTGCTGCCCTGGACTGGATGAGGGTAATGGTGGGTTAAAAATTACCAGCAGAGTCTGTTAAGCCAGGTGGGGACTTCCCTAGAGGACGCCATCGTACATCCGCCCGTGTGGCAGCCAGAGGATGGGCGAACCTTCCTGCGGGTGTATCAAACTCCATCCACCTAGCCTAACCCCCATCCTCCTCCTCTACCCCATCCACCTTCTCTTCCACCCCATGTTTCCCTCCATCGTATCCTCACTCTCCATCAAATTCACCCCTTCACCACCATCCTCACCACTCCACCCCATCCTCACCACTCCACCCCATCCACTCCTCGACACACACGCCCTAATATGACCCTCCTTGATGATTCCTCCACCTTCCTCGTGCAGGCAGCTGGCAGCTTTCCCGCCCCTCTCCAACTCAGTCCTACACACACTGTTTGCAGCTGTGTCATCCATCATCCTCCATCCTACTGTCTCACCCACCCCCTGTCTCACCACCCGACCCTACTGTCTCACCCACCCGACCCTACTGTCTCATCCACCCCATACCCCGCCCAGTACACACCTTCTACCATACTCTCATACCACCCACCATACTTCCCTTAAAATGCTATACTTGGGCACCATGATAAATATGATGGTTATACACTCAGTAACAACACATACACCTCTACACTCAGTAACAAGAGACTCATATATACACATTCAGTAACAAGAGAGACATGGACACAAAGCTAGACAAGAGAGAGAGAGAGAGAGAGAGAGAGAGAGAGAGAGAGAGAGAGAAAAGAGAGAGATAAGCCACACTTGGCTTCCATAAATTAAGTGTTACAAGTTTACTCACAGTGACCAGATGAGACACTAATCCAGAGATACTGTTCCTGTGGGGTGACCGGTCCTTATTACCCACCCGCCCGCCTACTTACCTCTGATAATGTCTACAAACTTTTGTTGCTAAGAGTCTTAACCTGACCTGACCTGACCTGACCTGACCTGACCTAACCTAACCTAACCTCTCATAATGTCTACAAACTTTTGTTGCCAAGAGTCTTAACCTGACCTGACCTGACCTGACCTAACCTCACCTAACATTAACCTAACCTAACCTCATCTAACACGACCTGACACACGAGTAGGTTAAGGGTGTTGTGGTGGGAGTGTTGTGATGGGGGTAATGTGGTGGGGTTTTGTGATGAGGGTAATGTGGTGGGTGTTGTGGTGGGGTGTTGTGGTGGGGTGCAGCGGTCGAGAGGAAACAACACTCGCCTCCTTTCTGAAAACTCGCTGGTTCGAACTCGGGGCGCCCCTAGTCCACCCAGCTATAAATGGACACTTGGCGTTACAGTTGAGGAAGTAAAGACGATCGAGTACTGTGCCAGCGACTCTTAGTATACAATGTTTGGCCTCCCATAGTATCCCTAATGGGTTGTTAAGCCTACGACCCAGTGTTACTCTTACGTTAGTTTGTCTGTTCGTTCGTTTATCCGTCCGTCCGTCCGTCTGTCTGTTTAAGCCTCCATATCGATCAATAAGTCCTCCTCGACGATCTCTCTCTCCCATGACAAACTCCCTTTATCTCCCCCATGACAAACTCCCTTTATCTCCCCATGACAAACTCCCATCCCCCATGAAAACTCTTATCCCCCATGACACTCCTTTATCTCCCCATGACAAACTCCTTTATCCCCCAGACAAACTCCTTTATCCAACCCCCCAACAACCACCCCAACAAACCAATCCCTTTATCTCCCCATGACAAACTCCCTTTATCTCCCCCATGACAAACTCCTTTATCTCCCCCATGACAAACTCCCTTTATCTCCCCCATGACAAACTCCCTTTATCTCCCCCATGACAAACTCCTTTATCTCCCCATGACAAACTCCTTTATCTCCCCATGACAAACTCCTTTATCCCCCCCATGACAAACTCCTTTATCTCCCCCGACAAACTCCCTTTATCTCCCCATGACAAACTCCCTTTATCTCCCCCATGACAAACTCCACCCCCATGACAAACTCCTTATCTCACCCTTATCTCCCCCCATGACAAACTCCCTTTATCTCCCCCATAACAAACTCCTTTATCTCCCCCATGACAAACTCCCTTTATCTCCCCATAACAAACTCCTTTATCTCCCCATGACAAACTCCCTTTATCCCCCGACAAACTCCTTTATCTCCCCATAAAACCCACCAACCCACCCCAACAAACTCCCTTATCTCCCCATGACAACTCCTTTATCTCCCCATGACAAACTCCCTTATCTCCCCCATGACAAACTCCTTTATCTCCCCCATGACAAACTCTCCCCATGACAAACTCCTTTATCTCCCCATGACAAACTCCTTTATCTCCCCCATGACAACTCCTTTTCTCCCCCCATGACAAACTCCTTTATCTCCCCCCATGACAAACTCCTTTATCTCCCCCATGACAAACTCCTTTATCTCCCCATGACAAACTCCTTTATCTCCCCATGACAAACTCCCTTTTTCTCCCCATGACAAACTCCCTTTATCTCCCCCATGAAAAACTCCCTTATCCCCCCATGACAAACTCCTTTATCTCCCCATGACAAACTCCCTTTTCTCCCCCATGACAAACTCCCTATCTCCCCATGACAAACTCCTTTATCTCCCCATGACAAACTCCTATCTCCCCATGACAAACTCCTTTATCTCCCCCATGACAAACTCCCTTTAACCCCATGACAAACTCCTTTATCCCCCCATGACAAACTCCTTATCTCCCCATGACAACTCCCTTTATCTCCCCCATGACAAACTCCTTTATCTCCCCCATGACAAACTCCTTTATCTCCCCATGACAAACTCCTTTATCTCCCCCTGACAAACTCCTTTATCTCCCCATGACAAACTCCTTTATCTCCCCCATGACAAACTCCCTTTATCTCCCCATGACAAACTCCCTTTATCTCCTCCCCATGACAAACTCCTTTATCTCCCCCATGACAACTCTTTCCCCCCAAAAACTCCTTTATCTCCCCATGACAAACTCCCTTATCTCCCCCATGCCTTTATCTCCCCATGACAAACTCCTTTATCTCCCCATGACAAACTCCCTTTATCTCCCCCATGACAAACTCCCTTTATCTCCCCATGACAAACTCCCTTTATCTTCCCCATTAATAAATTTTACATTGTAATTTTTTGTCATATATATAAAACCTAATTTTTCTCAGGACAAAATTCTGTCTGTCTGTCTGTCTGTCTGATGTGCCTGTGTGTCTTCTGTGTCTGTCTGTCTGTCTGTCTGTGTTTCTGTCTGTCTGTGTCTGATGTGTGCCTGTCTGTCTGTCTGTCTGTCTGTCTGTCTGTCTGTGTGTGCCTGTGTGTCTGTCTTTGTGTCTGTCTGTCTGTCTGTCTGTCTGTCTGTCTGATGTGTGCCTGTGTGTCTGTCTTTGTCTGTCTGTCTGTCTGTCTGTGTTTCTGTCTGTCTGTGTCTGATGTGTGCCTGTCTGTCTGTCTGTCTGTCTGTCTGTCTGTCTGATGTGTGCCTGCGTGTCTGTCTGGCTGTCTGTCTGTCTGTCTGTCTGGCTGTCTGTCTGTGTGTCTGTCTGTGTGTCTGTCTGTGTGTCTCGCCAGTGTCCCGGCCGAGTGGGGAGGACACACACATGCTGGAGGAGTTGGCCGTGTACCAGCTAAGGTTGGCACTGAGGCTGGGCTGAGCAGTTAGGAGTCTGACTGTAGTGATGGGAAGTTCTGCATCCTGAATAACTAAGTAGGGTAGGGTAGGGTAGGGGGGGTAGGGTAGGTAGGGTGGGGTAGGGTGGGAGGTGGGAAAAGGATATTCATTTAATTTACAGATTAATTAGGCCAGGTTAGATTAGTTAGTAAACCCCAAACGAATGGAATACCCCCCCCCTCTCTCTCTCTCTCCCCCCCTCTCTCTCTCACGTCACTTTAATGGTAGACGCTATATTCCCGCCGTAACATAACACCGCCTTTATATCATTATAATGCACACAACACTGAAACAGACGCCACCTCGCCCACTAATATATTCAAACATGGATCTTTTTAACCCATCATAAATCCAGGTTAAAATTCTTACAGTTAATTTACCAGTTACATTTGGGGTCAGGAAGAGTTAATTATATAGAACTTAACAGTGTTTGATGTGATACGTTCAGTTTGATAACACAATCATCAATCTGCCAAACCGGAACATCATAATAAACACACACACATACACACACACAACACACACACACACACACACACACACACACACACACACACACACACACACACACACACACACACACACACACCGACCACCTGGTAACCAACTAAAGGGTCACACACATCATCTCTAGCCAGTGTCCTCCTCTCTCTCTCTCTCTCTCTCTCTCTTACTCTCCTTCTTCTTCCTTATTCGATCGATGTTTTGTTTCTTTACTTCTCTTTGCTTTCTCTAACTCCTTCCTTATTCACTATCTCTTCCCTCCCTTTTCACTGCATCTTTTCCCTCTCTTTACTTCCTCTTCTTATCTCCCCTTCACTTCCTCTTCTTCCTCCCTCCCTTACTGCCTCTTCTTCCTCCCCTACTGACTCTCTTCTCTTCCTCCCTTACTGCCTCTTCTTCCCCTCTTCACTGCCTCTTCTTCCCCTCTTCACTCCCCTCTCATCTCCTCGTGCAATATTCTTTTTCCCTGTTGGAAGCCAGGGGCAGGACAAAAGGAGAGAGGATGGATGATGAGACATGTAGTGATTTCCTTCCTTCCTCTCCTACACGTTCCTTCTCTGCTTCCTTTATCGTCTATTTATCACCATTAACTCTCTCCTTCCTTCACCCCTTCCTTCTTCTCTCTCCCTCACGTCAACATGTCAATCCTCCCTCTCACCTACTTGTTGATAGCCGTCATGTCATCGGACTGTGCCTGTTCCGCTATTTACAAGATCCTTCCCTTCTGCCTATCATTATTTATATTCATTCTAAGTCATTTTATGTCTAAGTCATTTTATGTCTAAGTCAACCCTCAATGAACATCTGTACTGATCTGACTGGTGGAAGTCTGTCGTTTGTGTGTGTGTGTGTGTGTGTGAGGCATAGGAATATCTTCTCCCACACACACAAGCACACACACACGCACATTTTCCTTTCCTCCTCACCCTTTCATCCTCCCTCCCTCCCTCTCCTCCCTCC